ACTTTTAGTATTCTCCTCCAACACCACAACTCAAAGGCATCAATTCTTCTACGATCTTCCCTATTCACTGTCCAGCTTTCGCATCCATATGAGGTTATTGAAAATACCATGGCTTGGGTCAGGCGCACCTTAGTCCTCAAGCTGACATCTCTGCTCTTCAACACTTTAAAAAGTTCCTGTGCAGCAGATTTGCCCAGTGCAATACGTCGTCTAATCTCTTGACTGCTGCTTCCACGAGTGTTGATAGTTGATCCAAGAAGAATGAAGTCCTTGAGTTTAGTGGCTAACTAAAAGATAGAAGATTTGAACCAATCAGTGGCTCTTCAGGAGAAAAGACCTGGAGATCTTCTCCCATAAAGACTGCAGCTTAGAAACCCTATGGTAGCTGTTCTATTCTGTCACATGAGATCAATGGCACAGAACAACACAGGAAAAGAGCAGCAAGGAAAAAATGGAGATGTCAGAAAAGGGATGTTTGGCTATGTGAAATCTGGAAAGAATGACTTTCAAATGGGATGAAGGGATCTCCTTGGGAGGTGCTAGGACCAGAAAAAAGCATGAAAGGAAAGGTGTAAATATGGGTGGGATGGCAGGACTTGAAGGAACTCATACCTGGTACTCAATTGTCTATCTCAAGGTTAAGGAAAGATTTGTATGGTGATGGTTTGGACCAAGCACTCTGGAAAATGAGATTGCAAGCTGATTATCAAAGAAAAGAATTGTCCAGAAGTACTGAGAGCACAGGTCCCTCTTCAAACCATAAATCTGGAGAGAACTCAGTGAGGAGGGTTTGGGGGTTTTCCCAGCAACACTGGAGAGCCACTAAGAACCAAATGTTAATTATTAGCTTATTATAAGAATTATAAAAGCCCTCCTCAAACACTTCAGGAACTAGATAAAATGCAGAATTCTGGGGGATAATAAATAAATGCTGACCTTTAGCCTTTAGCCAACAGACTCAGTTTAAGATAGTGTTCCCAGGAAGAGCAAGTCTTGAGGACCCGTCTGGAAGAACAAGGGTAACAAGTGGGCCTTTGGTGAGTACACTCTGAAAGGTTCGTCTAAGAACCTACCCAGGAGGACCAGACATGGGAACTAGGGATCTAAGATGGTCACTGGCTCCTTGACAGAGAAAGCACAGGTCACTGAGAGCCAGCACAATCTCACCTCCAACAGGGCATTTCAGACCCTCCCCAATGCCTGCTTCAATGGGGCTCACAGAAACACCAGGGAGCAGCTGGAGTTGGGAGGCTGTGGTCCCCTTTAACTGAGGCACGTTCTCTTTGTTAATGGACTGAATGAAGAGAATCTGGATTTAACATTTAAGAGCTTGTATTTGGTTTCAAAAACTCAACTGAGTGAATGAAAGATAGGAGACAGGGTCTGGTTTAGTAGCAAAAAATATGAAAACGTCTTTGAGTCAGCTGACAGCAAGCTCAATAAGCGCTAACAGTGTGATGTGGTAAGCACAGTAAAGAAAAGCAATTTTGACGGCATTAATAGGATATGCTGTCAATGCTAGAGCGAGAGGGGGCAGTCCAGTTCCAATCCAGGATAGCTGAATTAAAAGACCAATGTACTGTGTTGACTTCTGGCCATCTCACTGCTAGTCATTGTCCATACCCCCAGCCCCCTCTCTGGACCCCAAAGGAGTTGACCCCTACATACTGCATCACCCAGCTTTCTTTGCTGTGGTGCCTTCCAGCTGGGTTCAGTCAACAGGAAGCACCAGCAGGAGATTTGAGGGCAAAAAGAGAGGGAACATGTAGAGTGTTTCTCTCTACCTGCCCTATCTCCTTATATCTTTATGGTGGTTGTATCCCTCTACAAGCACAATTCCAGTTGGGAGGGGCTTCTTCTATAGCTCTAGTTCTCAATTGGTTCTGGGTTCCTCTCCTCGTCCCTTCAGGCTTACAGGTGGTAATGACTTGCCTCTATTGCTAGCCTCTAGGTGGATCATGACAAACTGTGGACAACATTGCAGAGAATGAGTATTTCAGAATATTGTGCTCATGAGGAACCTATACATAGACCAAGAGGCTGTCAACTGAACAGAATAAGGGGACACTGAATGGTTTAAAATCAGGAAAGGTGTGCACCAGGTTGTATCCTTTCATCCTTCTTATTCAATCTGTGTGCTATACAAATAATCCGAGAAACCAGATTATATGAAGAAGAACATGACATCAGGATTGGAGGAAGACTTATTAGCAATCTGTGATATGCAGATGACATAATTTTGCTTGCTGGAACCCAAGAGGATTGCAAATACTTACTGATGAAGATCAAAGACTACAGCCTTCAGTATGGATTGCACCTCAATGTAAAGAAAACAAAAATCCTCACAACTAGACCAATTAAAAAAAAAAAAAATGCGACAAATGGAGAAGACATTTGAAGTTGTCAAAGACTTCATTTTGCTTGGATCCAAAATCGACACTCATGGAAGCAGCAGTCAAGAAATCAAACAACATAATGCATTAGGCAAAATATGATGCGAAAGATTCTTTAAAGTGTTCAAGAGCAATAGTATCAGTTAGGAGCTAAGGTGGGCCTGACCCAAGCAATGGCATTTTCCATCACCTCATATGCATGTGAAAGTTGGACAATAAATAAGGAAGACTGTAGAAGAATCAATGCACTTGAGTTATAGTGTTGGAGAAGATTATTCAAAGTACCATGGACTGCCAGAAGAACAAACAAATCTTTGTTGAAAAAAATACAACCAGAATGCTCCTTAGAAGCCAGGATGACAAGACTTCATCTCTCATACTTTAGACATGTTATCAGGAGGTACCAGTCCCTATAGAAGGGCATCATGCTAGTAAAGTGAAGGGTATGAGAAAAAGAAGACAACCCCCACGAAGCTAGAATGACACAGTGGCAATCGCAATGGGCTCAAATGTAGCCATTGTGAGGATGGCGCATGACCAGGCAGTGTTTCATTCTGTTGTGCACAGTGTCACTATGAGTTGGAACCACCTAGACAACACCTAACAACAAGGTACCTCAGCATCCCTTCTTGATCCCTAAACTCTGCCCATACCTCTATAAACAATTCCTTCACTAAATTGTTTTCAAAATTCCTGCTAGGTAAGAAGACACTGGCTGGGTGAAATAGAGTTTCCAAGAACTAGGTTACTCAACTTTGAAAAGTTTGAAGGACACCATCAGATTGTCCTGGCTCCAAGAACAGAATACAGGTCCTCTCCTTTTCGAAAGTTTGCTTTATTCCACTTGGTTTTTTAAAGATCTAATTAGTACCTGTTTTTGCTAATTGAAAGAAATCAAAAGAGGATTTTCACTTTTAAACAACAAAAAAAGTTTGTTATGCAAGGCGCTGTTAAAGAGTGCATCCCAAGAAGCTACAGTGGCATCACCCAACTTCCTGAGAACTACACTCAACACTTCAGTATGGAGCCCCCCTAGCTCTGAACCATGTCTGTGAACACTACATGTTAGTGTTATTTTAGGTTTTATATGTGATTTGGCATGAATTGACACGTTATTTTTTTGGTCCTGGGAACACTCAAAAATTTTTTTCCATATAAATTTTTTGTTTTATGACATTTGGGCTTAGAACAAGCTTCATAGGAATGCTCTATTTTCAGATAGCGGTAGAAACCTGTAGTAATAGTTACTGAAAGATCAACTTTTGGCTCAGTATAAACTTGTCTAGAAATCTAACAAAGGTGAGGTAACTTCTCAGGCCATTAGCTTCAGTAATTCTGAATTGCCTCATTTGGGGCTGAATGAGCCCAGGTGAGGAATGATATAAGAAAGAAAAGAGTGTCTAAATGGAGGTATTTACAAGGCAGGATTTCATGATTTGCTATCAAGTGTACACACTCAGATAATATTTTACCAAAATAACCAAATTAGGAGAAAACATTTTGGTACTTCTCACTGCAGTCTAGAGAACAGAAAGCGAGTGCTGTGTTGTTCAAGTTGATTTCTTTATTACTGCATGAAATTTATTTTCCATCTCAGTATCATAGCTTTCAAATAGGTGGTTCATCCCAAATCTTGATTCCCAAACCACTAAGCAGTCTTTTTTTTCTTTTTTTTAAATCCAAGCAACTTTTATCACTAGTTCTTCTTGAGAACTGTCACTTCATTTTGCAAGTCAAAAAAAGGAAGGCAAAGTCAGCCCACGGGACAAAACTTTACATATAAACTGTCCTGGGAAAAAAATGTGGCCTCAATTCACCCTCGTGGGAAAAAAGAAAATGGTTTTTGCAATAGCTCTTGACACCTAAATTCATGAAAGGGTAGCGACCTAGGATGCTACATCTGTGCCTAATCCGGGTTTTTTCCCCGTGAGCGTGAGTTTTTGTATTTATTACACTGCAGCAGCTCTAGGACCGCCAGCAATTCACTCATTCATTCAGCAAGCATGTTAGGTTGATCTTCTTCAGTTAATAGAGCCCTGCTTAGCCCCGGGGGCGGACAAAAGATCCAAGGAGGCCGAGGCTGCACCCAGACTAAGTAGGTCAAGGATCCGCCACATTTCAAAGACCAAAGATGGCCAAAGAGTGAGCGTGCCGGCGTCCAGAAAAGTTTAAACAGAAACTTGGGAAATGCCAGCCTTAGGGCGCAGAGAAGGCGGAGACCTGGGGCCTTCGGGAGGACACCACCTCCGGGCGGGATCCCGGCCTGGGCTCCGGTCCCTCCGTCTTCGCCAATGCCACCGCTTCCTCCGCCCTTCGCCCCCGCAGCGCCGGCCTCCGACCTGGGCGCTAGGCCAGGTCCGAGGAAACAGCGCCCCGGTCACCAAGGCGGGGCGATGGCAACGGTGGCCCACGGGACGCGAGGGCCGCAAAGCTGGGCGCGCACTGCTCCCCAAGAAGCGCGTGCCCGCGCCGCCGCGCGCCCCCACGGCGCTGAGCACCCGCAGACACTCCCGCCGCGGACACTCCGGCCGCGGCCCTGGGCGCACGAGCCCCACGGGCCCCTGCCCCCACCCCCACCCCCGGCCCACAGGGCCCGGCTGCACTCACCTTCCTTGGCTTTCTTTCTCCGAGCCAGAGTCCCTCCGAGTTTCCCCAAGAAGGAGTCATCTTTCTTCCTGGAAGGCGGCGACTTGGGAGTGGGGGACTTGGGAACAGAGGGCGATTTTTGCGGGGAGGTGGCCATGGCAGCGGAGCAGACAGCCACGGGCCGGTCAGGACGCGGAGCTGGCGCTGAGCGGACGCGGCGGGCGGCGGCGGCGGGACTGAGGCTGCGGCTTTCCAAACGGAAGCGGAATTATTCCAAGCATTTGAGGCAGCTCACGCTCGCCTTTCCCTTCCCTCTCTCCCTCCCTCGCGCCGCCCTCCGCTCTGGAAGGAGCTGCGTGCTCGGGCCCCTCCACTGCCCGGAGCAGAGAGGATGCCCCAAATCTGCCCCTTGCAGGACATGTGGCCTTAACTGTTTATGTGTGGCACTCGAGCCTGGAAGCCCCATTTCCCTCCACAATGCACCCAGCATAGATTCTGGCACAAATCAGGGGTTCAGTCACTGCATGCCGAACCAAACCAACTTGCTCTGTCTCTCTGTGTCTCAGCTGCTTGGAGCTCACTCTTTCTCTGGATTTTGCCTTTAAAGTTCTTAGGCCCATGTTTTGTGCCCACGAAAGGGAGCCAGAGCGGGGAAGAAATAGCTGCAGTGAACCAAAATGTATATTTACCCCCCACACTCCCCTCACACACACACCCCCCACGGCCTACCAACCGGGGCTCTGGTAGCATAGTGGTTACAAATTGGGCTGCGAACTGGAAGGTCAGCAGTTCAAAACTACTAGCTGTTCCGCTGGAGAAAGATGAGGCTTTCTGCTCCCGTATAAGATTTATTGTTGTTGTGAAGTGCCGTCGAGTCGGTTCCGACCCATAGCGACCCTGTATAGGGTTTTCGAGGAGCAGCTAGTGAACTTGAACCACCGACCTTGCAATTCAAATGCTTTGCAGTCTGGCGCATTAACCCACAGTGCCACACCAGTATAAGATTTACAGCCTCGGAAACCCTGTACAGTGTTGCTATGAGTCGGGTCAGAACCGACTCCACGGCACATAACAACAACAACCAAACTGGGCACATCCAATTGTTCTGCATTTATTGCATTTCATGTCTCTTCAACCGTCTCGCCCCTCCATCCCAAACCGGTTAGGGTTGAAGTTCTTGAGCTTCCTTACTCTTTTAAGTCACCAATTTTTAGCAGCACAATGACTTGTCCTAAAAAACACTGCCACTGAGTCAAATCTGACTCAGTATGACCCTGTAGGACAGACTAAAACTCCTTAAGGTTTCTGACTGTAAAATCTTCACAGCAGACAGCCTCTTTCTCCAGGGGAGGTTCTGATGGGTTTAAACTGCTGACCTTGTTAGCAGCCCAAAATTTAACCCCTACATTTTCAGGGCTCCTTATGACTTGTCCAGAGGGCCCCAAACGCTGATGGAAACATCAATAGGGAGGGTACGTACACCACGGGTTCCTGCAAAATTTCCCCATCCCCAGGTCTAAATAAAAGCAACAGAGTGAGGTCAGCCACTCCTTGAAAACCCTATACAGGGTTGCTATGCGACAGAACCGACTCCCCAGCACGAAACACTACCACCATCCAAAGTGTTTTAAAGACTTAGGTTGGAAACATTTTAAAGGCCATTGTATTGTCTCGATCAAATAATCTCAAGAACTAAATTACAAAAGCTGTTGCCAGAAGTTGAGCATTTGGCTCATGAATCACACAAGATTAAGGGGAGGAAGTTCACTTTTTACAACTAGCATACTGATAAGCAGAGAAAGTCCTAGAGAAATAATAACCACCACCCCCAATCCCCAAATAAATAAATAAATAAATAAATAAAATGGAGCAAAGAAGTGAACTTGAGAAGTCATGTGGTCTGAGTAATGGAAATCAATGGAGAGTAGTCTGGTCCTTGAATCTCTTCCCAACCTCCACCTGCAGTTCTCTGAGGGCCAGCTGTGCTTTCTCCTCAAGAGATGTCCCTCAAGCTTTTAAATAAACCATCAGCCCTCTGCTTGGACGAATCAGAAAACTGACAGGCAACAATTCCCACTGAAACAGAAATTCAACAAACAAGATGGTCAACGGGTTCTCAGCAGAGTGTGTGCTCTTTTTATATTTGCGAGAGAGAGAGCAAGGATTTTACCTTTTTGAAAATGATGTTTTAGCAGGTGCTTCTTTCCAAATATAAAGCAGAGAAGTCATGAGATCTGTTAGAATTTTTACGTGTTGCAGTTGCTATTGTCCAGTTGGTTCGGACTCATATGGAAAACCTTATATAGGTTTTCCAAGGAGCAGTTGGGGAGTTTGAACTGCTGACCTTGTAGTTCAAACCAACCCTGTGGTCCAGTGCTTATCCTACACCACCACCAGGGCTCCAGAATTGTAATCTAGGAGCGGGAAAAGATTATGGCAATCTTCCCACACCCTGAGCAAATTTTAAAGAGATGATGAGATGCCAAAATCAAATTGTGCTTTGGTTTTTCCATTAGTCATTCTTGTTCAGCATACTGAATACATATAGTTGTCTCTAAAATGTTTACCTCTAGCCCTTGAGGACTTGCTTGGGGATCAAGAGACGTACTACTCAACAGCTAGGTGATCTTGAGCAAGTTATTCCCCCTCTTCTAAGTTTCTATGTCTTTATCTACAAAATGAAGCAGTTGAACCAAAACAGCGATTCTCAACCTTGACTGTGCATCACAATCCCTTAAATAGTTTCTTACAAACATTCACAGACTTCATCTCCATAAATTCTGATTCATTGGATCTGTATTTTTTTAACATCATTGGACAGGTATTTTTAAACAGATGACTTTTGAAATCAGATAACTTTGATATAGCTGCTCTACAAGCCGATGTTTGGGAACCTAGGATCACTTCCATTTCTGATATTTTATGATTCTCTATGGAGTCCTGGTGTGGCACTGTAGGTTAATACGCCAGACTGCAAAGCCATTTGAACTGCAAGGTTGGTGATTCAAGCTCACCAGCTGCTCCTAGGAAACCCTATACATGGTCGCTATGGGTCAGAATCGACTCAATGGCACTCAACAACACCACCAACAACAACATTCTCTATATAATTGCAGGACTTTGGTTCTAAATATGGCATGGTCACTATTACCCTTAAATTGTCCATGTGTATACTTTTTCATATACTATTCTCAGTAATTTTTATGTACACTAAAGTTTAAAAACCTCTCGGGGAGGAACAAAAGGAAAGTCTTGATAGTTGAATGCTGGCTCCCAGAAAACACCAGCAAATACACTACAGTTAAGGCAAAGATGAGTTTCTTATGAACCTTGGCAAAGGAGAGCACAACTTTGGCAGAGTCTTAGTTGCATCTTGGAATGGAGGAGGGCAAAGTGAAAATGTTTGTAAGGTTTGGGATTTGCTTTAAAGCAGGTCTTTCAGTGAGGAGGTGTTTGTCCAGGATTGGCTAAGGATGGTGATGTGATAGGCTAGAATTTATGGACAGAATGAAGTGAGGTTTTCAAAGAGTTTTGGAAAGAAAACAACCTTTTAATGCTACCTATTGAAACGTTCAGCAGTTTGAAACTACCAGCTGTTCCGCGGTAGAAAGATGAGGCTTTCTGCTCCCATAAAGATTTGCAGCCTCGGAAACCCTGTGTAGGGACACTATGAGTCGGAACCGACTCCACGGTACTTAACAACAACAACAATTAAAAAGTTGGAGACCTGGT